AAACTATCCAAGAAAGTGTCTATTTAAAATGTGCAACTCTGACTGGTTTATTGCAGATCGCCAAAACGGATAAGCCCACGTGCCATGGATAAGATGTGGAATGGCCACTCAACCATAACATAGACACCATGATTGTCAACGCGATGGCATCACACTCAGCTACCATAGCGACTCTCCCATCAGCACTCCCCAGCTTGATCCAGAACATCAGCAGCCTCAACCAGAGCAACAACGTCACGTCTCTTGAGAACCTGAACCCGCATTGGACGGACCTGTTGCTGATCATCGTCAAAGGCTTCATCTTCGCCACGATCATCGCCGGCGCCATTCTGGGCAACGCCTTAGTGATCATCAGTGTGCACAGACATCGCAAGCTCAGAGTGATCACTAATTACTATGTGGTGAGCTTGGCAATGGCTGATATGCTGGTGGCGCTGTGCGCGATGACTTTCAACGCCAGCGTCGAACTGACCGGGCACTGGCTGTTTGGCAGCTTCATGTGCGACGTTTGGAACAGCTTCGACGTGTACTTTTCCACCGCCAGCATCCTGCATCTCTGCTGCATCAGTGTGGATCGCTACTATGCGATAGTGCGCCCCTTGGAGTACCCGATCACCATGACCCATCGGACTGTCTGCTTCATGTTGGCCAACGTGTGGCTGCTGCCCGCGCTGATCAGCTTCATGCCCATCTTCCTCGGCTGGTACACCACTGACGACCACCTGCTCTACGCCAGCGCCCATCCGGACGTCTGCATGTTCGTCGTCAACAAGTACTACGCAATCATTTCCAGTTCGATCAGCTTCTGGATACCGGGCACCCTGATGGTGACGATGTACTTTCGCATCTACAAGGAAGCCATCCGGCAGAGGAAGGCGCTGTCGCGCACCTCCTCCAACATCATCCTCAACTCGATCCACCAACATCGAACATCCTACCGCGAACGCTACAGTGATCGGTATAGTGAACAGTATCTCCATCCAGAGGTGGAGCTCACGGTGGGAGAAATCAATGGCGCGAGGAGAAGCACGAGCTCGGGATCAGCAGTGTCGTACGGCACCACCATTACGGAGTTCAACACTTTGATGAATACGCGGGATTGCAGCAAAGCGGCCACCGAACTCAACCTAAATGGTAAGTGAGGTTCTCTGTACTCGACACTTTTGGATGCTTGGGTGTTTGTTGTTGGATTGCCACCAGAAGCCAACGTAAGTGGCTGTTGAGGCTGTGGTGCGTTCAGTAATTTCGGCTGCTGATGATGATCCTTAAAATCGATGATGATCGTCCGCCGTCTTACGAACGGAGGACGAATTGACAGATCTCCAACCAATAGAAACACTTTGGTATCATCGTACAAACGGATGCATGGGAGACGGGCTTTAGAGTATTCGCTACTCACGGTTTCTCTGATTTAGGGTGGTTGCTTGAACCATTCGTTACTTTGTGGCCATTAATTTTGTAACGCTCAAAGGACGATCTTCGATCTTCTTCGGTCACATTCGGTCTTCTGTTGTCTATGAAATTAGAAAAATTGTCGTCGTTTTGTGCGAGCGTGGCGTAAGATTATTGCATTGTTTTCCGTCCCGTTTTTGCTCATATCTCGGAGGCAAAATGAGCAAGATCTTTTTACATCATTCCAAAGAGGAATAAATGGCCTTTTTAGCAAGTGAACCATCGATAAGGAAATGTTGGCAGTTTTCTCAAAAAATGCCTAAATTTAAGAAGTTTTAGGTTTGCATGGTTTTTTTTGAGTTGCAAAATCCACTTGAACATGACGCTGCTTTTTTCGAAGTTTCTCAAGAACCATTCAAGCCACAGAATTCGTTTTGGCATCGTTGGATAGAGAATTGAAAAGTCGATTCAGCCGTAACAACGTGAGTGAGGCAATTCGAGTAGTTTTGACCCATGAAGCGAAATTTGAACATCAGACACTTAGCTGCAAGGTTATGCCAAAGTTTCATGTTTTCCGTACCGTTTTTGCTCATTTCTCGGAGGAAAAATGAGCAAGAACGCTCATTTGTATGTCATTCTAGGGAGAAATAAATGGCCTTTTTAGCAAGTAAACCATCGATAAGGAAATGTTGGCAGTTTTCTCAAAAAATGCTTGAATTCAGGAAGTTTTAGATTTGCGTGGTTTTTTTTTGAGTGGTAAAATCCACTTGAACATGACGCTGCTTTTTTCGAAGTTTCTCAAAAACCATTCGAACCACACACAATAGTGTGTAGTCTGTGGGCCGCTTTCAGAAATTGGACGAATGATTTGGTCAGATTCGGCACATGTGGGCATGGTGTTGCTATGCATCAATTAATCACATTTATACAGGGTAAATATATAATCATCAAGTATACAGGGTTGCTCATTAGTGCGTCAAAGTGCGATATTTCAGTAAATATGAACTTTACAAGAAAATACGTCCTACGAAAGTTTTTCATGTTTAAAAGGTCCACATTTTAAAATTACTTTCCAATATACGGAGTGTATCATAAACGTGTGGTAGTTACCAACTTTGGTTTTTTAAATGGAACCGCCCCTTTTTTCATTCATTTTCAGATTTGTCGTCAAAATTTAAGTTAAGTTTGTGTCAAACGTTTTACCTGAAAAATTTACGATTTCCGAGTTATTCGTAAAAATGTGAAAGTTTTGACAGCTACTGGGTTCCACAGAAATCGATGCTGTACACTACCCGCTGCGAATTTTGGAAAACAGTTTTCAGCGATTCTAATAGAACATCATGATCTACG